CGGTGGCGCATGAAGCTGTCCCGCCACATGAACTTCTTGGCGCAGACGCCGCACTCGTAGGGCTTGAGGCCTGTGTGTGTCTTCATGTGCTCGGTCAGGTGGTGCTTCATCTTGAACTTTTTGTTGCACACGGGGCAGTCAAAGGGCCGCAGGTTGAGGTGCATGTTCACGTGACGATCTCGCATGCTCTTGTGGGAGAAGGCCTTCCCGCAGTGGCACAGAAAGATCTTATTCCCGTCCCCGCTGCCTGTCCCTCCAGGGGTCCCACCAGCGCCACCCGGGACACCCAGGCTCCCTGCGGATGTGCCCCTCAGAGTCACAGCCCCGTGTTCAGCTTGGTTCCCTGGCGGCTGGCCTGGAGCCTGTGAGGAGGAGGAAGGCGATGGGAAGACTAGGATCTGGTTGCCCTGCACGTCTACAGGAAGCAGGGGCCTTGATGGGAGGGAGGGGGCATAGGAGGAAGGGGTGGGCCTCCCTGAATCATCAAGCTCTGCCCCAGGACCCCCACCCTCATAGGGGCCAAAGTCATTGGAGGACTCACAGAAATTGACCTGCTCCTCTCCCTTGCCTGGAGGCTCAGTCAGGGTCCGGACATCACTTATGCTAAGGGTGGCCTCGGGTCCTCCCCCCGCTGAAACCCCCGACCCTCCCCCTAGCTCCTCTTCTTCATCATCCTCACAGGTCAAAACCAGGTCTTCCTCCTCCTCCTCTTCCAGATCTTGGTCTTGGGAAGCCAGGGGCGCTGATGCTGGGCAGCTTCCACCCCGCTTTACATATATCCAGTGCTTCTGTGGCATGATGCTGGGGGGCGCATAGGTGGGCCGTCGGAGCCCCGCCCCAGGAACCATCGAACCCCTGCCGTCCCCACCATCATCGCACAGCTCATCTGCCTCCAGTAGCAGCTTCCCAGAGGTAGTGCTCCCACTGCCAACCACAGGGACTGGGAATACAGGGCCACCTCCTCGACGCTCCCCGCTGCCCACTGCAGAAGCCGCAAACACCTCTTGGGAGGAAGATGAGAAATCAGTAGACTCTCGGGGGCTGAAGTAGTTGCTGCTGCTGGGGGATTGATTCTCACTGGCCCGACTGGAGGCATGGGAGCGCACAGAGCCCACGGTGGCAGAGGCCACAGTGGCCCCACTCCCTGATGGGACCCCAGCACCAGGGGCAGTGACTGAGGAGGCTGCAGCCGTGGTCACGGTGGTGGTGGCAGAGGCCCGACCTTCGCGAAGGAGTTCCGTGCATTTATCCACAATGTGCCACATTTGGAGCACAGAACCCACTGTGAGGAAGTTGACAATGTCAGCAGCGGCCATGCTGAGGCGACCAGTGTAAGCTGAAGCCAGGACAGTCTCGAAGGCGCCAGGGTCCATGACGCTGGGCAGTGAGATGGAGGTCATGCCCTTGAGTAGGACCTGGTCGTGGAAGTAAGGGGAGGAGGCAGCCAGGACAGCACGATGAGCTCTGAACTCCCGGCCCTGCACTCGGATGGACACATCGCAGAGCTGGCCCTGTAGTCGCTGCTGATTGAGGGATTCCAGGAGGGCACTGGTTACCTCCGGGAAGGACACGTGTACCACTGCAGCTGCAGGCAGGGGCAGTGGGGGCGGGGCCAGCGACAGAGGCACAGGGAGTGCTGCCCCACTTGGAGACAAAGGAGATGGCTCCATGGTGTGGAGGGTGGAGGGAGGTGGTACCCCCCCAGCCACAGGAACAAGGGAAGGAGGAGGGCGGCCGGGGGGGTCTCTGGAAAGAAAAAAAGAATGATAACACAATGAAACAGCCCTTTACAGTTTAAAAATATGTTCACACCCATTTTTTGAGTAACTCCCCACACAATGCTGTGAAGTTAGGTATTCCTCTCAACACCACTTGAAAGGTGAGGAAACTGAGGCTAAGAAATACCAAGAGATTATTCATGGCCACAGCCATCAAGTGGCAGCGCCAGCAAACTCAGTTGTCCTGACTCCAATTCAGTGCTTTCCTTGGAGGTTAGAGAAATAGGTACTCTATGGGAATGGGGTGCCTCCCCTTGGAATTTCCCATTTGCCAGAGAGCCTCTTTCCAAAATTTACCTTGTTGATGTTTTGCACCCTTTTCTTGGGAGGGGGGCAGGTCTGCTCCGTTACTGAAAAACACTCTCTCTCTGCAGTTCCCTTTAGGCAATGCTCCAGGCTCTTTCGAGGGTCACGCCCCTTTTGCCCCCCCACGTC